AATTTAGTCCACTGTAATGCTGTCGCTTTGTTCATTTAAAAACAACAACAAACGCTTATATAAAAATATGTCTGCAGTGGCGCATTTCCTAACCAAAAGGTTTGCTCTCATGAATCCACCATTCTTTCACTCACACTGTTCTTCATTAAGAAAAAGAAGATTTTCATTTTTCCTGTGGTTTATACCTGTGTTTAAAGAAAACCTCTGTGAAGCAACTTTATAACTCACTTGGCTATTTACTTTAATGTGTATCTTCCCCCCCTCCAAAAAAAACTTTGGGTAATATCCACTAGGTGTTCCCTTGAAAGCATTGCTTTGAGGAGGAATTTACCAACACCTTTCAAATGTTGTCTTTGTTTCCTACATTGATCTCTGTGATTCAAACTGTGGCTGATCTGTGCTTCGTTTGGTTCCTGTCCTGAACAAACTCTGCCCAGATGTGTCCAGAGAGACCGGGTTGTCCTACTGCATCACCGAAAGAGGTTTTTTGACTGAGCTCCATTTATTCATTTAAGCCAGGCAAATAAAGTTAGGAAACGTCTAGTGAGAAAGTGGTGGCCTGATGCAATACGTTTTGTGAAATCCCAGGACTTTGGACCCTTGTTCAGGAGCACTTTAGCATAGCCGAAGCCACCAACGCTGATGTTCGGACCCTTTTCAAAGGAAGTATGGCTTGCATCCTCGCCTGAACACTCTTGGGGAGGCGGGGAGTCTTTTTCTGTTGCAAGGGCTACACCTGAAACAGTATAGCCTTCAAACTTGCGAGCAGAACATTGCACTGAGGTCAGCATCCTTATTACCTCCTTGGGAAATGTAAGCATAAAATCTAATCAAGGTCCTCCAAAAATTCAGTTTGGTCCTAAACCGGTTTGTAAACAATAGGATTACATGGGGCTTTGTGAAAGTAAATTCTCCATCAAGTTGAGCTCAACTTCTTGTGTTTTCATAGCTATATCCATGTAGTTTTCTTGGCAGCAGTACAGAATTGCACCGCCTCTCTGTCCTTCCAGATGTTTTTTGGTTTCCCCCTCTGGCTGATGTAGTGCTTCCGTGTCATCACAGGATATGGGCTTTCCTTGAAGAACCTGCAGAAAACACCTAGGGGTCAGCAGTTTCACCACGTAACGGTTTCCTATCTAACCGCAACCGCAGATTAAAAAGCTTAAAAATTCATATTTTAGTTAAAATATGGAAGATTGCTTCTCTGAGTAAAGTATACCAAATATTAGCATTGTAGCAATTGTCTCTGTGTATAGCTAGGCTGTAAACGCAGTGACAAGATCCAGGAGGATGGGAAGTATTGCGTCGGGGCTGATAATATGTGGTTGGTCTGCTGTGTAATAGAGGCAAAATCTGAGGCTCTTAATAATTAGGTATCCTGGGGTTTTGCTGTTATCTTTAATGTAGACCAGTGTTTCTCGACCTTGGCAGCTT